AAAAGTAACGCTTGGACCTGTTCTTTCTGAATGTAGAGTTCGAGCTTGATCAGCCTTATTGCGACAGCTTCACTACGCGGAGCAGATGTTCGCGAGCTACATGGCGTATCATTTATGGAATACGATGAACGATATTGAAAGCTTTATTGGTATCCATGTGTCTACTAGGTGTGCTAGAACTGAACTTTTCATCTTTCCGAAGCGAACTGGTAAATGATCTCATATCCACAGACATACCCGGTGTAACTTGTTCCATAGGAACGGTTAAATTGATATATACAGGATGAAGAGCTAAGATTAGGCAGGCTATTCTTTATTCTCGGACTGAGCATTAGCTGACTACTGAATGATATACAAAAGTCGACGTACATAAAACGTCCTATTGACTGTTCTAGCTAGGCATTGTGATAGAATGTCACTTGCAGTGTCTTCCTTGAATTTTGACCGCAGAAACAACTGCTTCTTCTTCTATACCACCATCAATTCTCGTTCACGGTCACTATAATTGATGTCACTTTTGATGAACTTACCTGGATATCTGTTTTCACTTAAGATTTTACGGACACACAGTAGTTCTTTTTTCCATACACTTCTTGCAACAAATCGATCTTACTCTTAATGAAAGGCACTTGCTTATATTACGTTTCTACTTGATGTACACGAAGCTAAGAGAGTGTATATAATGTGCCTTAGACGTTAGTTTTTGATATACACTACTCAATATAAAGCTATCTTCTTTTCCTGTCATTAGCACATCAAGAAAATGTATCGAATCATTGATTTCATTTTCAGCGCAAAGGAAATGATTCAGATAAGAAATAATGCATAAGTACTTATCATAGACGAAAAACGTATCATCTATATATCGACAGTATAACCCAATATTAGCAGTTTGATCTTTCAAAGGACCATTTTTTGAATTTTGCCAAAATTATGCCTGGAAATATTCGACCCAATGGAGATCCGTTAACTAACTCCGTTAACTTGTCTGAAGAAGCTACTGTTGAATAAGAATTGGACACTAATCCTATGTCTTAGTAATGGTTTCTTCAAATTCATAACAGGAATACCAGTGTCTATTTTCCTTTACAATAATTGTACACAAATACATCACATTGATCAGATAAACTTCGTCTTCTAATTACGCTATCGATATACCATTAGGAGGATAACGTTAGTGAACAAGGATGTGACACCTAATGATCCCATGAAGTTGTTTAAAACACTCAAGTTTTTATTTTGTCTACAAACTAGGCGTCTTCGACGCTTAATTTTCTAAACTGGTCACGCAAAGGTTAAAGTAGTCGTAATAGTTATCTGGCGATAGCATGGTAAGGCATATTGATAATTCATGAATATCAGATGAAAATGGAAATAAAAAAGGGGGTGTGCTAAATTTCTCTAAACATATAGTTCTTGTTTCATTATTTCAATGATGATAGCTTCAGTTATTTACCAAAGACTGATTAGTAGAGAAGGAGAATTCAGCGTCACTAAGTTGATCCCTACAGATTAAATATGATTGGACACAGTCAGTATTCTTTCTCGCTTCCCCTTTCAATAACTATACTTAAAACGCTGTGAAAAAGCTTTCACACTGAGTTCAAAATAACTAACATTATAAGAGTAGTCAACTCATATATGATAGACAAACGATACCAATATAGGATCTAGCATTAATGTTTAGCAATCCAGCTTACAAAAACTGATGTCAACGTATCAAGTGAGAATACACTAAGGTGAAAAAGTAAAGAAGAAAGTAGTAGTATTCATCATGGACTGACACTAGATGGGGAACCATTGGAAATCTGGGAGCACTGGACAGCTGTTTCGTAGTAGTATGGGACTCCTTAGCAGCACGCACCCACAACCCCATCAGGCAGGGATCGGACTCAGGACCTTCAGGTTTCACGGCGAACGCGTTAACCATCCAGCCACTGGTCGGTTTCCAGTCGTTCACAATTTCCAACTTCTGTCAATTCATGACATAGCGCGACTATCACCCAAGGACTTCAGTTAGCATCCACTTCACTTCCAACTGGTTGACCTCATAGGTCACGGCTTCTCATTAGAGCTTCATGATATCCATCTGGAAGCAAGTCGGAAGTGAAGTGGATGCTAACTGAAGTCCTTGAGTGACAGTCACGCTATGTCGTGAATCGACAGAAGTTGGAAATTGAGAACCACTGGAAACCGACCCAGTGGCTGAATGGATAACGCGTTCGCCGTGAAACCTGAAGGTCCTGAATTCGATCCCTAGCTGGGTCGTGGGGTGCGTACTGCTAAGGAGTCCCATACTAGGAAGAAACAGCTGTTCGGTGCTCCGAGATTTTCAATAGTTCCCCAACTGATGTCAGTCCATGATGAATACTACTTCTAAATTAAAAAATCGCCATTCATCTCAAAAAAGAAGAAAGTAGTTAGAATTGATAGAAAGTTATCAAAAGACAGTAAGGAGGAATGAGAGAATGCTGAGGTTCAGTATGATGATTGGACACATCTGTACTACTCTGAGATCGATTCTGAGCCACGTCACCTAAAGTTTCCAAAAATAAATCCATATTAATGTGGATATATATATATATATGATTGTTTTCTGCATAGACAGTGGACAGTTTTGTGGAAGTTATCTTCATAGAGTAGGTGCTATGGAACCTCTTTTTCAATGTTCTCTCCAATCTGATTTCTAAAAATTTCTCTCTTGAAATGAAAATTCAAAAAATTGTTGCTTTTCACTGAAAATGTCGATAACTAGACTTTAAGATCATATCCTCATGGTATTCATTTCTTCGAAACACGTTTCTTTTCTCTTCAAATTTGGGGAATTTCGATACAGACAGTTTATTTTGTAGATTAGTCATGCCATTCAGTGAATTCCCAAAAGGATTTGGACGTATATATATATATACATATATATATATATATATATATATATATATATATATATATATATATATATATATATACGCATTATCCTGTAGATGAACATATTTAGCTATTACCTTCTAACCATTACATACCAACATATATCAGAGCTTAACAACAGTCAGTAAACAGACAAAACTGCATTGAAAATAACCTGACTTTAACTATCAATACTGAATCGACAAAATAAAAATGCTATTGATCAATCTATAGTATACATTTTAAACGCTCTAAGTAAACTTGAAAGGACCAGAAATGTTCCACTTTAATAATATATGTTTGTCTGTCTGCCTATCTATCTATCATATTTCACGACAGAATGAAAGACCAATGGTGATTCATTCACATTATAACCAACTTGAAAACAATCAGCATAGCTTTTTTGAGTTGAACACAATATATTTCTTTTTTGAGTAATGACGTGAAAACTGAGATAGAAATTAAAATTTCAGTGGTAGTAGGATTGAAATAGCCACCTTAATGTCACTACTAATCGATGAGTATACACCGACTAAGCTCATCTACTCTAGCTTCTTAAAATGACTCAATTTCACTTCAGTTATCGACAATTATATACCCAACCAGATAAGGGGTGGGGGGGAGGAGAGAGTAAACAACCAGCTGTAAGGTAACATGACGAGAATTGAAATTGAGAGTTGGCGAAAAGCAACGCCATACAGCCCAACTGTTTTTGAAGCGCTTGAAGGCTGCTGGTTCCAATCTCACCGAGACGTAGGTTTCCTGTTCAACTAGGGGGAGTATTCATGAAATAAAGTAATCCCATCTTACTTTGCAAATTGAGTCCTTTGTGCTCCGTCTGACTTGAAATGAATAGGACAATAACAAGTTATTACGATGAATTCTTTTCAACTGAAAGTAGTCACTAGTCGGAGCAAATCGTCATACTGTATAATTGCGTAAGCTATTGGATGTTCATCTGATCTTGAACCAAATGCCGAAAGACAAAGCGGTATGCACTAAATTATGTCACTTCCCGTACTATTAGCCTGGTTTAGGTTAGGTATACGATTATTCGGTGCGAACTTTATTGCGTACATGTGAACTTTGCTCAGCGTGAACTGAGGATGCTCAACTAGTGTGTGTTAGAGATCGTCACTCACTGACTAAATTCTTCTTAGATCACAAGCTTTGTTGACCTCAATATGTCAGGAATGTCGTCCTAGTGGCTTCTACACTGTTCCATTTGCTAACCTTGAGACTGGTTGGAGAAGACGAATAGGAAGTCAGTGTTCGACATGACACCGTGCGATTAGGGTAGCATCTTTCGGTGCATTACAATTTCCTTGGAAGGGTAGGAAAGATAACGCAACTCAGCGAACAGACACGTCAACAAATATAGACGATAATCGGAACTGACGACAAAATTTATGTTTGGATTGTGCATTCAGTGTAGGATAATTCGGCTCCAACTTTTTTTCGAACACTCCTACTTACTTTTCTCTATTGTAAAAATCTTATTACCCACTTCCACTATTTAGTGGTTTACTACCTCTAATACAAAACTCTCACTGACCAGCAAGTGATACAAGAAGTCAATATTCACCAAGTGAAATCCTCTCTAAACCTTCGCATTTGAGTCAAACCCATTTGCATGACTCTGAAGTCAGAACATAGATTTTCGACAGAAGTATTATCAGCCTTAAACAAATTAACCGCTTATTTGGCTGAGATGATGTGCAGAATCACCTAAACAGGTCTGTGTGTAGCTCAATCTCAAATGAATGATGCGTCCACCACAGTCCAGATAACCTCAAATGGATTACAAACTGCTACATGATGTACGTCTACTTGGATAATCATTTTATCATAATATCTAGAAGATTGGATGAATTACACCATCAATAATGTGTCATCTCTCCATGAATGCTTGACATACCGAATGGTACCGATTTTACACACCTTTCTATATCACATATGTAACAGATGGTATTATCGGAATTCCGTTATCATCTCGACAAACAGAAACTTAAGCTACTCTTCTGTTCACACATCCTTCCTAGTAACATATCAACCAGTCGAACAATAATCAACACAACTCAAGAGATAGAAATTTAGACTAGAACGAATACTAGAACAGAGAGAAGATACAACCCACTTGTGTTGACATACAGGTATGAACTCACAAATAAGCTCCCCCCCCCCAAGCATACTCAAACATACACACAAGTTCAAGTCATACAAACAAATGCATGAATATCATAGACCAACCTGGATTCACATAAATATATAATACCTGAATAGGCACTAAAGAAGAAAGAAAACAAGTTGAAATCCGATTAAATCACGTTGAAATGCAGCACACAAAGATGATCGGTATTTTGTCAGCTTCTGAGAAACCCAAGCAACAATAATTCGAAAGAAGGAAGCAAGAAAATAAAGTTATGAATGGAGGATATGATAGGATATATCAAGAGAGAATTTTCTTTTCTTTTTTCTTGTTGAAAAAAAAACACTGTATAAACAAACAATAAACACAAACAAAAAACTCATAACAAACGATAGAACTACTAACCATAATAATACAATACCGATAATCCTATATATATATATATCGACTGTTCAAAAGGATATGAATCTTTCAAAAAGGATTTCATTTAGGAAACTGTACAAGTAAGTCACTGAAACAATATATGCAAATATATGAATATACACAGTTCACGTACTAATTACAAACATTCAATAATTGTATAAAGTATTCTTTGAAAAGGTTACCATTAGTACTGGTTGTTACAGTAGTACTAGTATTAGTAGAAGTATTCGTATATCAATCAGTACTAAGTAATTAAAGTCGTCTGAATAACAACTCCAGGAGATAGACACAAGTTTAATAAGTAATATATAAATACAACAATTGTATGCAAGGGTTTGTGTGTGTGTGTGTGTGTATTGTTGTTTCTTGCAGAGAAGTGAACTCAAAAACCAAAAAGAAGAAGAGGAGAACATACCCAAAAAATAACAATTACTATTATCATTATTACTATCATTACAACATTAGTAATAGTGATAGGACTAACACAACTGTGTCACACAAACGAAAACACAGTTGAGCTGCACAGCGAAGTGGCACTACTAGTAGTAATGACAATGGTAGTAGTAGTAGTAGAGGTGGTGTAGTAGTCGTGGTGGAAACACACAACAAGAAATATACATATACATAATATGGAGATATTTTATAAACATAATCTTTGCATTTCAAGACAATAAAGTGATAAATACACAAATACATCATCAATTGAAAGGCAAAAGAACTGAGAAGTGATTAAATAAATAAAATCGAAAGTGTTCAAGGTCTAACAGAAAGGGGGAACGGGGTTGAGGGCGAGGGAAGTAGAGATGATAAGAAAGAGGCGGTTATTTAATAATATAAACTGTACAAATAAACACAGACTATGTAAACGTAGTTTTCATAGTAATAAACCTGAAACATTTTTAATGAAAAAGAAATAACATTTTTTATCTACAACAAATACATACAACAACAAGTTGACAAGGAAGTGTGTGCAGTAAACCTGAAACGATTGTGAAGTGAACAACTTATTTTCGTTAGAGAACAAAATAAAACAAACAACAGTAACATAGGACATGGAAAGGCGATGTGAACCAAAAGAAACAGTAATTAAACAGATAGAACTAACACATTTATCTTAATTACAGACATCCGAATCAAGATCAACCGAAGACAACTTCATCTGTTGGTTAACTGTGGATACAATCGGTTGAATACTTGACGAGAAGGAGGAAGAAGAACGATATGCTTGTTCACCTGATAAAGGAATGCGAACTGACTGTTGCATAATAGGCGATAAAATTGAATACACAGTGGGCTTTTCCAATGTGCAGATTGATAAACACTGAGCAATGATTTGTCCTGCATTGTTTGTCCTTAACCCTGTCTCGCTTGGTGTACAGCCGAATGCTATTTCTGATAGAAGCTGTGACTCCTTCAGCAACCACCTAAGAAATAAATAAAAATGATGTAATCATTAATGGAAACTTTTCAAAATCAGTGGACAAAAATACATAAAAAGAACAATCGATCACACAATAATCCCGGTGGAGACAGCATCACTCACTGGGATGCAGGTACATCCAGCTGACGAGTCCCAAATAGGATGAAATGCACATCCTGGATTCCACTGCTAGCCACTATTCATCATTACCACATATAATTAAAACACAGGCAATATCGAGGCATCCTATATGCCAATAGAGACCGATCAACTCAGCCCAATCAACGACGGTATAATGCCAGCAGTAACACTAAAACTATACCAGTCGCACAAGAAGTGTCTATCGTGGCTCGGTGGTGTAGTGGGTAACGCTCTGGCGTTTGAAACGATAGCTCTCGAGTCAAAATCCCAGTGGGGACATCACTCACGGGGAAGCAAGTACATCCAGCTGATGAGTCCCGAATAGGACGATTCCACTGCTAGCCACCATCCATTATACGTTTTGTCTACACAACATGACAAGGACAGGTTCCATTTCGTAACTTCTAATAGGTTGCAAACAGTGTCAAATAACAATGGTCGGTATAGATAACAGTTAAACACGAAAAATGCTTGTTTATAATGAAAACAATATGTGAAATACAGAGAGCATCAGTCGACCACCAAAAATTAAAGCGAAAAATCGTGACCAGTGGGGCCAACCAACTAGAACATGAGGGACAGTTACTCAACGACGGCATTGGATGGAGTACAAGCTATACTGTGAAATAACAGAAGGGGAAAATATGGACCATTTGATTTCAACCTAGTGTTTCAATGTCAACGTGCTGGCCATGGAACCTGAAGGGCCTGGGTTCGATCCCTGGCGGCATCATGGGTGCGCACTACCTAACAGTCTCATACTAGGACGGAATGACTATCTTATGCTCCAATGTCTTCAATGTTTCTCCAACTGATGTCGGTCCATGATGAATACCAACCTGAAATCAATAAATAAATCCCCGCAAACCTCCAGATTGACAAACAAAAACAAAATGAGGGCTGGAAGTTAAGAGGAATGGAAATACTTCTCTACAAAAATAGAGGCAATAGAAGTGTCACTTAAAACTAAATAATCATGCAGGGTTAAGACAATATGAGGCAGTACAGAACTAAATCGACGAACCAAAATCCTAAGGGAAATAAAAACGATATAACGTAACAAAGTCAAAATGCTATTATCGTAATGCAATCAGCAACCCTGTCCACATTTGTGCGGTAAACAATGAACCATACCTATTGTACTAGGTTTAATGATACTACCTAGCTGCCCAAACCAGCTCGTTAGGTGTGGCGGTGTTCGAACTCGTTACCCACTGGTTGAAAGTCAAGAGCTTTAACCAATGAACCGAAGATTATCAGCAAGGTGCATCTGTAACCTAGAGAGGACTTGTGTCCCCTATGAGATTCATCCCCGAGTCATCCAGCGACGTTACCACTGAGTTGCTCGGGCCTGAGGTCCATTTATCAGGGCGAAGAGAAACTGATCACGCTACTTATTCTATATATCGAAATAAGGTTTTTATTTCAGAACAACCGATGTTATAAAGTAAAGCATGGTTAGCATTTTTTTGAAAAATCATTATCATCATCAATATCAACAGATGGACCAGGTATTCTTTCATAACCCTCCAACTTGCCACACCTCATATCAGTACATCAAGTAAAACCGAAGCGAAGTGTAAGATGAAGAAAAGAAAATTCACTCAAAAGAAATATAAACTACGGAAAGAGAGAAAGGAAGAATGAGAAAATGATGAGATTCAATATAGCATCGTAATCATGAGGATAATGTGTGCATACATCTGCACCAATCACATCGAATCTCAGCCATGTCATCTACAGTCAGTCTATAATCATTGATTCCCCTTGCCCCGACGACCACAACCACATAGTCTGCATCGACCCACATATCTCAAACCAACAGGCAGACACTTCATACATTCATGTTGTGTTTTAATCTGGCCACCTCGGGCCTTTTTCCAGTCTAAACCTACTTCGACCAACACTGTGTGACTGGGTAATCGGCAACTAGGTAAACGCAAACACATCTCAGTCAATGAAGGTTCACAACCTCGTCAACTCATTTATCTCTACTCCCTAAAACTCCATGCCTGACTTCTGCATTGCTCATGTGGTGATACCACGGAATACGGCGTATACTATGAAGGAAACGGCGACCAAACATTTGAAGCCTTCTCACGTCTTCCATCTCCAATGGCCATGTTTCACACCCATACAGTAGAACAGACCGGATTGCTGTGCAGGTACAGTACACGCGACCCTTCATAGACAATCGCATATCACGGCGGCGCCATAGGTGGCGTAAATTGGCAAAAGCCAGTCGACCCTTTTCTATTAGTGCAGAGATTTCACCGACCACTGAGCCACTAGGGTTGATCCTACTTCCCAGGTAACTGAAGTGGTCAACACACTCAACCACTACACTCTATTGTTAACCGAGGCACCGATAAAGACCAATCCTCGAGCTAAAATTTGCATTTCGATGGTGAGAGACGCATCCCAAACATTCTCAAATTCCCACTCAAAGTGTTCACAAGACTCTGCATCTTGTCAGTGTCTTCACTTAACAGGGCTTTGTCATCTGCATATTCTAGGTATGATGGGAATTCTCCTGCGATTAGATCAGCGTCTGTGTAATCAGGCGACGAGAGGGAGACCTGCATAAAAATATCTATGATAAAATTGAATAAGAATGTAGAGAGTGGGTACCCCTGTCGGACACCACTCGATGAGCCCAGCTCCCTGAACACCATACCATATGCTATAACACGCCCACAAGTGTTCGAGTAGCGAGTCTTCAATAAAGTGATGTACTTACTCGGCACGCCTTTCAGCGAGAGACATTACCATAAGACTTCTCGATCAACGGAGTTGAATGCCGTGTCTATGTTCCAGGACCTGGCGCAGTAGGTATGTGAAGATTCAGACTGTGAAGACTTTCTCTTCCTTAACTAACAGTGCTCATGGGACATACGCACAAAATCTAGAAGATATGTGGCTTCCAGTTATTCTCACTTGCTTACCATCGAAAAATCTACGTGCACTAGCAGTAATAAATAAAAAAGGTACATATACAGATAGACTTGAATTCACGTTTAGTAGTTAGCGAGCATTTTTCACTCACCGCTACCCCCTACCTCGATGTGCCATGTTGTTAGAAGTTCGATTAGGAAGGAAAAGGATTCAGGGTGACCAGACCAAGACTGTCCCAGACAATGAAGTTCCTGACTATTGTCTTGAACTGTGCAGGGATATGAAGACTGCCCGGTTAGGGTCCCCGAAACGAAAGGAATCAATGGTTGAGGACTGAAACCCGATCACAATGATGCATATATATTCACTCTTTGACATTTTTAAAAACTCGAATATTCATATTTACCTTCGTCTTCAAAATGTTTATTCTTTCACACTACTTTAGCAATTTTCATATCATTCCTCTTCTATCCACCTGTCCTTTGTATACTTCTGTGGAGTATGGCAACTTGAGCCGATGTACTCCTGTGCAAGGTTCTACGTTGATTCAGTCAGTCAGTCAACCACTTACACTAATCCCACTATAAGTGATCATCAGATTTTTTTTTAAAGACCCTCACTGCTCACTGCAATAACATATTTCAATTAAAACTGACTTTTTAAAATCAACTCAGTAAAAGACCGAAAACTCCAACAGATCGACAAAAATAGTTTTGTGTATACAACTATACTACTCGATAGTAGCACAGTTTCTAACCATAAATTTACGGTTCCAGACTGAGAACAGAATGATGAGTCTCGGCATCGTGAAATCTAGTTAGTTTGATGGTTCTCATTTCATAAAAATGGTACATAACAGGTGAAAATCTGCAATCCAACTGAATTATCAAGTAGTTAATGCAAAGAATTTCAATATCAAATTGCTTGATCCATATTTTTCACATTTCAGATGACGTATGCGAAACGAAACAAAATGCATTCAGCCACCTTGAGCATATCCGTGCAGTAGACTATGAACCACACCTATTGTATGAAGGCTAGTGATACTACATGGCTCTCAAAACCACCTCGGTAGGTGAAGCGAAGCTCAAACTCATGATCCAATAATTGATGGTCATCTCCCTAAACCAGTGGGCCACAGCTAAATGCTAAATAATCTCACAGGACTACAACTACCTTAGGGTTCATCAAACTGTTAGTACCAAACTCTGTTGAACAATGTACTGGTTAACCGCACTTACTGTTGAGTTAATGTTAAGACTTAGGATTCTGACTGGTTTCTTTTGTAATCTTATTTGGTTTTTACTGAACTCCAAACCGTCTGATTACATCACAGATTCTGACTCTTAGTCTTATCTATGGTAGAGAAACGAAGACTTCCTGGTGACAGTTCACTTAATAGTCAGTATCAGCGGTTGAAGACTTCAGATGGTATGGCTCAGAACCAATTTCATTAGCTTGAATGAATCCATAATTTCTCTTCCCCCTCTGTTGTTATTTCACTATTGTTTTGCCTCCTTTTCCTCGTTCTTGACAGCTTTTTAGAACTTTTGATTATAGTTCTTCTCAATTACCCAATATTTCATTCATCTTTTAGCCTAGTATCTTGATACACTTATGAGAAGTGAGGCGATATATAGTGTTATGATGTCAGGTCTCAGCCTGATATTGACTGATTACCTGACTGATCATTGCTAACACATTACCAGTAGAATATAATTCAAAAATACAGACAGACAGCAAAACATCAAAGTTATATGCTTTTAAACTCTCTCTGAAGTACATAAAAACTTTGCTTCGATGAAAATTATTGCTGTAAATGATATGAAACATAAACAACAATTGTATAATGTTATCAAGTTTACAGAATCTCATATGATATAGAACAAATGTTATGCAAATTTAAGTCAAGGAAACTAATAGTCTTTAAGTAGAACTCACTTTCTCGCCTGTTCAACATGTGTTACTAGATTTTTTAAAATAAGCGCAGAAGTTACTCGGAGATGCTTTGTTACTGGTCCTTCACGCGGTGGATTATTAACACTTGAATGAATTAGCGGATTAAGCGGTAAATTTGGCTGGTAATGAGGATTTGTCAATAAAAAATGATGTTGTGCAGCACATAGATCATTTTGCATACTTTTAGCTTCAACAGAACGAATAATTGTCCATGCTGAACGATCACCAACATATAAGTATTCAGGATGTACATCCCCAGGTGATAAATTTGTATCATTATTAAAGTGATCACATCGGGTGTCAAGTGTTTTGAAGTCAACTTTTTTATGCTCATGATTTGATCTTCGTTGTTCTAATTCTTTTGGACTACAGTGCATATCGAGTACATGCGTCATTAGAGCGTATGGTGCACGAGCAAGTGATGCTGACTGACAACCACGCCAACGACAACAACGGCGAACAATTTGAACAGGATATTTATGATTCGGATGATGTGAACTATCTACTTTCCAACTTTCTTTATTAGGTAAGTGCATTGAATAAACATGATGAGCAACCTGAAAAAAGGGGAATAGCAAAATGCATGTTCGAATGCATTATAGCAACTGAATAAAACGCAACAATCAATTACTTACTTCACAAATTTGAGGAAAGTTGCGAACTGAACAATTAAGGAAGATCAATAAAACGTTATTTTAGGTTGGAATTCATCATGAACTGATATCAGTTGGAGGAACATCGGAAGCCTGGGAGCACTGGACAGCTATTTCGTCCTAGCATGGGTCTCCTCAGCAGTGCGCACCCAGCACCTTCGCGTACCATGGCTAACACGTTACCACTGAAAAGTTTCATGCTGGAACGAAACAATGTCCAGTGCTCCCAGGCTTTCAATGTTTCTCCAAATGATATCAATCCATGATGAATTCCAACATAAAACCAAATGATAAGTCTCCACACACCTGCAGATAAAAACCAACTTTTTTCGATATGAAACAGACTATAAATTAGTATCACAGTCTGAGTTGACATAGTATTCAAACCGCATTCGACGTCCAAATCAACTATGCTACTGGGACATTAGTTTCTTAAAACTCCTATCACACCACCTGACTGCATACATCATTCCACCAAACGATTGTCTTATATGTACTATATTATTATTATTTGTCCCTTGGGTTCTTAATGGAACATAGGGCTTCAGTAACACGTCTCCATTCCACTCTCTTCTCTGCAATCTTTTCAACCTGGCTCCACCACTGCCCACAACCTCTGATTTCTTCCTCGCACGATCTCTTCCATGTCACCCTCACCTCGAATGCCTAACTGATCGCTTCCCATTTGGGTTCCACTCGAGTGACTAGCCTGACGCGTGATGTCCCTAATCGGTCTTCTCAGTGCATGCCCAATCCATCTAAACTTCCACTTCCTTCTGCATATTTGTTCGGCGATAGGTTCTTGCTTCGTTTGTTCATAGTCGGAGTGAGTTCCTTGTTGCTTATTCTTTCTGGCCATCTGATCTTCAGTATGAAGTGAGCGTAGGCGGCAGTTGTTGACGAATGTCTGTAAATTGTTGGAAATGCCTTTGGTAACGCGCCAAGTCTCTGTACCATACAGAAGCACTGACTTGACTGACTTTGTGTTGAAAATCCGGATCTTGTTCCACATGCTGAGTGCAGAAGATATCCACACTGGTTTCAGGTTAATGAAAGAAGGCCTGTCTTGCTGTCTTTCCAATCCTGACTTTGACATCCTCATCTGTGCCACCGCCACCTGAGTTGAAACAGTGCTGCCTAGATAGTTGGAAGAGGCTATCTCCTTCCAGTTTCTCTAGTTCATAGTGATTGCAGTTAGGTGTTGGTGTTATTGTTAGTTGGGTATCTTCATCATCTCTGTCTTCTCGATATTCACTTGAAGTCCCGTCCTCGCTGCCCTGCCCTGCCCTACCCTGCACTCCCTCTTCTCTCAACTTGGCAGTTTTCGCCTACAGATCTTCAAGTTTGTGTCACATTACACACAAGTGATCACCAGCGAAATCCAAGTCCTCTAGGATGTTTTCCATGGTCCAGTCGGCCTATCCGTCTCTTCTCGCTCACCACTGCTTGTTGCATGATCCAGTCCAGTTGACCACAATCAGGAATATCATGGGTGATAGTAGACAGCAATCCCTTGTCTTACTCCTGTCTCCTGTCTTCACTTCGAAGGCGTCACTGAGCTTCCCGTTGTGGATCACTTGGCATGTGACGTCTTCATGTGGTAGCTGCTATTGAGGTTGATGTTGATAATGATTTGTGGTATTCCGTAGTGTTGAAGCAGTTGCCTGCCAAATTACTTCTCTGTCGACGCTGACGAAGGCCTATACAAAGTCGATGAAGTTGAGGTATAGTTGAGTTGACTGCCATTCTATACTCTGTTGTATGATGATGCGTGGCGTAGCGTTGCAATTTGATCCGCATATGATTTGTACTTCCTGAATCCATCCATCCAGCCAGGCTGTTCCGGTCGTAGTTTTGAACCCAGTGCATCTTTTAGTCTCTCCAGGATGATGCGGCTTAATATTTCGCTTGCTTTGGGTGTACAGGAGCGTGATTCCGTGCTAGTTCTAGCAAACACTTATTTCCCCTTCTTCGGGAGTTTGACAAGATAGCCCTTTTTTCAATCGCCAGGTACCTTTACTTCCTTCCAGATTTTCTGCAATAGTGGTGTGAGCATGTCCGCTGTTGTCTCTGCGTCTGTTCTCAGTGCTTCTGGCGGGATCAGTTCAATTTATAACTGGACAAAAAAGCCTAAACTGAGAAGTAAATGATGAATTACAAACAGGCGCAAGCCCTTCATTCTCATAAAAACTAGATAAAACCCTGATGAAGTTATGGTTCATTGGTCTAGACACTCTATTTCCAACCGATGGGTCATGGGTCCGAAGCGGACCCCCACCGATTGTGAACCGGGGTGACAAGGTGTCGTTCACTGCCAAATGATAGATGGATTTCGATTTTTTCGACATGGTTGACACACTGAATATTACCACCAACAAAATATCATTCCAACCGGAATCTCTTCTATCTATCTTTACATGAAGGAGACATGCTTCTCAACAATATTTTACTTTTTTAAAAACTTACTAGCAATAAACGGACTCACCTGATGTTTAAATTCAAATGTGGATGTACAACACTCCCATTCACATAAATATGATCCTGGTTTTTCCATGTTCCCTGGTGTAGATAGAGCTGTTGAACTCATAACATCAACACTGTGATTGGTATTGGTAGACTCTGAGACACTTTCACATGATTCTTTCGATCTACACTCATTGGTTTCAGATGTGTTGTTAGGCTCCGGTGATATCGGACAACTTTTAAAATCACTACATGTAGACTCTACTGTTCCATCACCAGAACCAGTAATGACCGGTTTAGTTGATGATTCATCAGTAGGCCTCCAGGTGGGATCAAGAACAGAACCTGGAACAGAATTCATTTTCAAGGCGGTATTTAAGGCTGTGGATGTATCCAAACATGTAGTAGATACTGTCTTAGAAAGATTATTAAGATTTATAAGATCACGTCGACGCTTGGGTGTAAACAATTTGTTCTTGGAACCCCATTTTCGTCTACGCTTCAAAAATCTGTGAGAAGGATGTAAACGATGGCAATTGATAATATTTGAAGTCTTCGCCAGTCTATTACGACTGTTACTACTAACATCATCTTTAGTAGTCGGTAGGTGGCAATTTTTTTCAGATTCATGTATATCATCTGTTAAATAGCCATTGCTCAAGGGACTTTTATCAAATCGTTTGTCTGATTTTTCACAATCTTCGAAATGTATTGCTTTGGCGCCATCAGATTCAGCATTCACATTTGAATTAATCTACGTCAATTTAAATAAAACACACACAAAATTATTAACCATATATGATGGTACGCTAAATAACACTTATATAACTTGTAGTCTATTTCCTGGCTAGCAGAGGTATCCGAGAGATGCGTTTCCTTCTGTTTAGGACCCGCTGGTTGGATGTATCTGCCTGATAATCAATCCCCAAGCATCCTAACCGATAAAACAAAATGTAACTCGAAATTTGCTCAACCTATGATCATAGTCTTTCTGAAATGCTTACAGTTAAATATATTTAGTGCTCATGTCGTAATCATGAAATACAACACAGTCGAGAGGTACACGCAATCTTTAATAGACGTTCCGGCATCTTACCAGTGTAATAAATACGAAAGCAATGAAAACTTTTCGTGATTGCTTTTCTAATCACTTAGCCATTTCTTTATAATGCCGTGCGGCATATTTCTCGGAACCCATACTGTATCAAGATTTTACTTGAAATAAATAATTAGTAGTACAGTAGGTGATTTATATTGATTTTAAAAAATGACTAGAAATTTTGGAACATAAATCACTCCACATCAAGTCTAGTGTGTCTACACCTCCACAAAACTTAACAGAGTCTGTTGGAAATCCCTGTACAAATAATCGCTAAATAATAGGCAACAAAACTTAAGCCCCGCATACATTATAATTTACAGTAATGAATTAAGTTCCCCAATGAACGAAAATGACTGTAGGGAGACAACCCAACCTTTATATGAAATGATTATAATTCAAAACGCGAAACTAAGAGTCATTTGGATGAAGTTTACTCCTCTCTCCTCATAGGACGGTAACATTTCCGAATAGGATGCCTTACAGTACAGTTATTGTTGAAGTGAAAATCACCAGTACCAAACAAAACAGAGAGACATTTAATGAGGATTCTTGCGTCGATAGTGATACTGAAGTAAAATAAACAGACAAAAGGTGAATTGGGGAAAAAAAATATCTGGGAAGTTCAGTCTCAGAAAAATGGATAGTAAAGCCAATTTTTTTAAAAAAACACCAAGATTTTTGAACGCATAGAAAAATTATAAACAGTTGATGAACATGGAATATCAAGCTATTGAAAGAATACGTTCATTGGATATCGTTTAGTTTTATGGTTCAGCGGTTCAGTTGAGTGTAAAAAACTGTTCACTAATATAGTAGAAAGGCAAATACTCGTACATATTCAAGAAAATCAATGTTAGAAGGACTCAAATTTGCATAAAACATTTTTAAATTGTCGTTTTCACGCAATTTTTAAAGCATGGTCAGAAAATCATTTCCCGCCTCCCATCCCCATTTTCAAGGTAATTCGCTGATTGGCTAATGCTCGGTTTTACTTTGTTAATGTTTCAAATGCTGAACAAGGACACATGTCATGCACACACACACACATACATACATACATACATACATACATACATACATACATGTGTTCTTGGGTTAATTGACTATTCATCTGGGAGAAATAAACTCTCTCATCCAGTTCGGTATTTTTTATTTCGTTCAGGGTGAAACCGGTGGGTTTGGCGTACGCAGATAGTTGTCAGTCAAACTTATGTATTATATCCTCTCGGAATGTATAACAAGCAGATCAACACAACACTACAATGAGTACCTGGAATTTAAATTCCGTTTACATCTACAGATCCTAAATATTTAGTACTAATGTATCTTATGAGTCGCATCTGTCAGTGGTATATACAATAAAAATCGAGAAAAAAAAGTAGAGAAAAGGGAAGGATAGTATTTATAATGATAAGAATAAGTATTTTACCTGTGACAGGAAGAATATAACGGAGATATATGTAGACAACAAGTACGACTATTTCTAACTCACATACATACATACACACACACCTTGATGCCTCTCTTGCTAAGAGCTCAAGCCTAAAAGGTACACAATTTTCTACAAGACTTGAAGTGACAACTTCACGTCTTTTTATCGCTTAACTTTCTTATCAGTTAAACATCACTGTTACTGAAAATCTATGAGGAATAAAGGATAGTATAATTTTTGATAAAGATTAAAGCAAGTCGAAATGAATTACCATTATTTTTCTTTACTCTTTTCAAGTCCTTACCATTTTCACCACCCTTATAATTAACAGATGGACCAGGCATCACTGCGTAACGGTCCAACTTGCCACACCTCATATCAGTGCATCAAGTAAAACCGAAGGGAAGTGTAAGATGAAGAAAAGAAAATTCACTCAAAAGAAATATAAACTACGGAAAGAGAGAAAGGAAGAATAAGAAAATGATGAGATTCAATATAGCATCGTAATCATGAGGATAATGTGTGCATACATCTGCACCAATCACATCGAATCTCAGCCATGTCATCTACAGTCAGTCTATAATCATTGATTCCCCTTGCCCGACGACCACAACCACATAGTCTGCATCGACCCACATATCTCAAACCAACAGGCAGACACTTCATACATTCATGTTGTGTTTTAATCTGGCCACCTCGGGCCTTTTTCCAGTCTAAACCTACTTCGACCAACACTGTGTGACTGGGTAATCGGCAACTAGGTAAACGCAAACACATCTCAGTCAATGAAGGTTCACAACCTCGTCAACTCATTTATCTCTACTCCCTAAAACTCCATGCCTGACTTCTGCATTGCTCATGTGGTGATACCACGGAATACGGATTATACTGCGAAGGCAACGGTGGTCAAACACTTGAACACAACGAACTGCAGTGTAGTATACTCCTTTCATAGAGAGTCAGATAACTCACTAGTTGGTGCCATAGTTGGCGCAACTTGGGAAATGCCAGACAGGCTTTCTGAATCCGAGCTGAGATTTTGTCACGAACAAACCCGTTCGGGCTGATGCAAATTTCCAGGTAAGTGAAGTGGTCAATATATTCCACCACTTCACTCGCTATCATTAAACTGGGAGTACTTGCAACAGACCAGTCCTGGAGCATCATCTTACAGCGAAACGCATGCCAAACACTCTGATTTCTGCTCAACGCATCCAGAAGACCCTGTAATCTTTCAGGGTGTTAACCCTGTAGGACAATATCGTCAAAATACTATAAGTCAGCCAGATGACCCCGAGGGAGTAAGTCCATCCCGAACGTTATGTCCATTGGTACGTCTATAATGAGGTTAAATAGGAATGGTAATAGTGGGCATTACTAGCGGAACGCTGACAGTGGGTATCCACAGCGGACACCACTAGTTGTAGTCAGTTCACATAACGACTCTCCATAAGCCATGACACGGCTCCGTGATTTCGAGTAGAGAGCTTTGATGGGCATTACATGCATGACCTCTACTTCCTCCACAGTCAGACACTGCCACAACAGCTCATGGTCGACTGAGTCAAATACCACCTTCAGATCAATAAATAGGGCAGGTGTCGGCCACTGGCCTGTAGGTTATGCCTGTGTTTCAGAACTTGTTGGAGGGTAAAAATCTGATCGACTCACTCCCAACCAGGTCTGTCTGGAACCTGCGTGGTACTCTAGAAAGAGCGGCAATCCTCCACCGATCCTCTTTAACGACGGCTAATAGCAATGCGATCTATTTGTGTCCATCGTTGATTTGAAGCCGGCTGACTCCATGTGAGACAATATTTCTCTTTATGCTTAAAGTTACTGTTGGCCAGAAACAAGTGATTGTCGTAGCAAAACTAAAACAGACGACCACTGTTGTCGGTTCATTGGCAAGGGATTCCGTAAACATCTCCGAGATGCTTTTCTCATTGGCTCAGCTTCTTTACTTAAGCTCTAAAGTCACATGCCATTATGACAACACCTGAGGGTTTTGCTTCTGTAGTAAAATTGACAGCTTCGCACAGAATTCATCCTTTGCATTGTCCAAGTGTAGTCGGTGGGCACCCAAGCGGAAATTACGAATAGGCACACGGTTTCTCACGAGTCTTCCCAGTTCTTGCACATAGCTGTTTGCTGGAATCTAGTCGCGAAATATACTGTTTACTCTATAGTCTAATGCTATGCCCACACCAGTGAGTCTACGTGAGCTAGCCTTTAGGTCTCCGAATACTCATAAGGTGAATTTTGAAAGTTTATTACTACGGACAGATAAGGTTAATTTAATAACGACACTCAGGTCCTGTATACGTATTTCAGAGACATGGCAAACATCCATGGCTAGAGATTTCAGAGTTTTGGGGAGCCATGCTTGCTGTCTCATTTCGCGTATAGTTCGGACGTTGAAAGATCTTACATGAAATCGATGACGCGGCCTTAAGTGACTAAGAATGAGGGTTCGATGGCTCTACATTCCTGAAAAGCGGCGATTAAAAGCCTCTAAATTTCTGATTTTAAAAGAAAAACAGCCAAGTGAACAAACATTACTCTCTTCTCAGGTCTGTAACAGTTATAAATTGATATTACTTAATTGAAAAAGAAATCTAAGTGGGATTTCGTATAACATGCAAGTGAGGTATCACCTGAATAGTACATGTATTTCATTCTTGCCTTAATTTTGTCAGGATTTGTCCACTAGAAATAAACAGTTGTTTTATTAAAGTGGTGCAGTAAATACCCCACAGATTCACTTTCGGTATCGAATATTTCTTTATTTATCTACTGTTATTAGTGCAACATACGTTTCAAGAGATGATTCACACAAAATATACAAACACTAAGACAAATGTTAAATTAAGAAGCAGCCTTCAAGGGAGCATTCACTACCTCCATTTTCCTTCCCGACAACAGAAGAAAGCTGAAGTATGATCACCTCTGATTTTGATATGGAGTCATATCTGTCACCGTTTCAAGTCATAAAGTTGCATAATCATCTCCTAGATGTAGGTTAAACTGAAAGACTATTTCGCCTGTGAGATGCTTGGAATTCGTAACAGCAAAATGAGATTTTTACTTGGTACATTCTAAAACTAGTATAATCCCATTATTATTATTATTATTATTATTATTCACGAGGACTACTCTATACAAGAATCCCACCAGATTCACTAGTTAATTATGGAGTAGACTGATCTAAGAGAAAAAATTTGTCAAGTATCCCTCTATGATGAAACATAAGGAAAAGAAAGAAATGGTCCCTGTAGAAAACTGGATGGAGAAGTGAGATAACAATATTATCACTTAGTAACTTAAGAGATTATATGGTTCTTAGAAATACTTAAAGTAACACCGATAATCAGGTTAGTACAGTTTTTAATCAATATACAGAGAATAGTCTAAAAATGAATCAATATAAACTCACTTTTATGCTTGAAACTACTTCATGTTTTCCATCCAACATACCATTAATATACTTAATAGTTGATTTTGATTGTTCTGAGGAATGTTTAAATTTTTTATCTTGAATAGCTAGAACAGCTTCTTGTAAGATACCAGTTCGAAGACCATTAGTATGTAAACTGTTCATATAACTCTTTGATTCAATATCATCAATACAATTTAGATCACCGTTAATAATTGGCTTAGTTTCATAATCATTATGTTGTAAAGGTGTGGTTTTTAAATCTTTATCAATATGATGTTGATTATCATCATTACAATCATCATAATTTAATATTGGATTTAAATGAGGCAGTGAATTTTGTGAATTGTTTACTATTTGGATTAAACTATTGTTAGATAATTTTTCACAAGTATCTGTATACAATATATGTCTCCCACTTTGAACTGAAGACTCAATGTCCTTTGAATTTATCAACGTATCGGAAGTCGTAGAATTTCCTAAGAATAAAGATTAAAATAGATTCAATAACATGGTAAAAATATGTATATATATATATAATCTTTTTTTGGAAAACATTAAAACATCCATCACTTTAAATAGTTGACTTTCAACCAATGGTTCACTTACAAGTTGGAACACCACTCTACCTACCGAGATTTAGGCAGTAGTAACTATTAGCACTCGTGGACTGGATCATGCAACAAACCGTGAAGAGCGAGAAGAGAGGTATACGCTGGCTGGACCGGGAAAAAGATCCTAGAAGACTTGGATTTCGCCGATGACCTGTGTTTAATGTCGCAAAAACTCAAGGATCTACAGGTGAAATCCAACAAAATGACAGAAGAGGCAGGGCAGCGAAGGCGGGACTTCAAGTGAACGTAGGTGATGATGATACCCAACCAACAACACACCACCACCAACAACAACAAAAACAAGCTCCAATCACCATCAACGGCAGAAACTAACAGGAAGTAGTCCCTTTCACCTATCTAGGCAGCACCGTCTCAACTATAGGTGGCACATGCACACACCAGGACGTCAAACCTAATCAGGATCGCAAAGACAGCAAGACACGCCTTACTTCATCAACCTGCAAACCAGTGTGGAGATCTTCTGCACTGCACTGCACTCAGCATAAAGCGTGAACAACATCCAGATTTTCAACACCAATTCAGTCAACTCACTGCTTCTATGTGATGGTGGAGAGACTTGAAGCGTTACCAAAAGCATTTCCAACAAATTTTAGACATTCATCAACAACTGACTACGCTGACTCGTTACTGGAACTAAGATCACATGGCCAGAATAATTAAAATAAGCAACGAGGAACTTACTCCAGCAATGAACAAACGAAGCAAGAACCTATCGCTCAACAAATATGCAGAGAAAGGAAATGGAGATGGATTGGATTAGGCATATACTGAGAAGACCGATTAGGGACATCAAGCTTAGGACAGACACTCGAGTGCAACCCAGATGGGAAACGGTGAGTTGGTCGTCCATGGCGAGGGTGACATGGAGGAGATGGTGTGAGGAAGAAATGAGAGCTAGTGGGCAGTGGTGGAGCCAGGTTGAAAAGACTGGAGAGAAGAGAGTATAATGGAGACGTGCTACTGAAGCCCTATGCTCCACTGGGAACCCAAGGGATAAATAATACTACTAATAATATAATTATTCGCACTCACACACAATTGGTGTGACTCATTGGCTACTGTACGAATGTGAACAAGGTTGCCGAGTGGATTTTGACTCGATTCGATTCGATATGACGAAGTTATCAAATATTCACAGAGTTGCATATTGAAATAAAGTGAAGTCTAACTGAAATCTGTCAACGCATCAATATTATATGATCTCTACCCTGAATTGATCAGATAGGACTAGGAATTTAACCCAGTAGTATCTTTTGTCAGTTCTGTCTTTTCTTAAACATAAACGAAATAAGCAAATGTTCAATCAATTTGCTAGGTGATTCCGATACTATCTCGTAATATACTAAACAAGTCAATATCAAAATATCAACTGCGAAAACACAATCCAACACATAAATCGATACCAACAATAACAGATTACACGGATCTATGCTGCATCTTGACTGAACCAATTACAGGGCTGCTTTCAGTTTATTCTAAGCACTGCAAATCACAACGGATACTGGCTATATGTGCATAAACACAGTCTTGCCAAGATAAATCGATGAAAGTTTACAAACTCCATAACTGATTCATTTGTTCCTTGACAGTGAAACAGAGCAATTCTCACTGGATGGTCCCACCACCATACATGACCAATGCTTTGGAAGCAGAAAATATTCGCAGTCCTTATATAACTTTCATCATAACGTTTCAAGGTTAAATAGTAGGACAGAATGACAGGTTATTAGAATGTTACAGTTGTGAAATAGACGACAAAGATCAAGAGTTTCTGCGTTCTTGTCGAGATTTTGTTTAACTATAACTCAGATGAGATGATTTGACTACTCAAATGGCTATTACCCTTAAACACTATCCTAACAACTGCTAGATTAGGTATCAATGAAAAGAGAAATAATTTCTCATCAGAGAAACAAGAAAAGTACCCTGGAACTGTTCACCTTGTTATTCGAGATGTACAAAAGGCTAGCTACTACCACCCTTTTGTCAGTAGCTTGTATCACAAGTATGATTTTGTTGGATTCATCGTTTCTTGAACCTACAAATGGAGTTTCACATGGGGTAAGGATCCTAAGAAAAATGCTACTTACACTAATTTCTCTACAGTGATCACTATCAGATCTGTCTTTTCTTATAAACTCAGAAAAATAACTATCAGGATCGGATGTCTTTTTAGATAAGACAAAATAACAGTAACATTGGATATGATGTTAAAGGATAGTTGATTTACCTGAAGGGCACGAAGACTTTAGGTTGGCTGGAGCAGCAATCGGTGAAAATGAAGAAGTAATTCGCTCAGCCACATTCCCTGATGAGTAATTAGTTCGACAGGGAGGAGATGTGGGAGAATTGATTTTCGATTTATTCGTCAGTTGAGGAGATGAAATTAGACTAGTTCGTGAATGAGCCCATTTTCCTGACCGTCGCAATGCAGATGGAGGCGGTAAAGAAGGCGGTGGCATTTGTAATCTATCTGTTAGTTCTGATAAACTTGGTGTTGTTAGTTTAGGTGTTGCAGGGACAGGATTAGGAGACGCTGAACTGGCAACTGACAAGCCAACGTTAGATGACGATGAAGAAGATGGTATTGAAGATAACAAGTTGATAAGACCTGAGCAAGCAGTACTCCCGCTTTGAGGTCTGTACACCGGTTGTGCTATGCAAGATGTTGGTATGACAGCCGACGGTTTCAAAGGAGTACTAGATTCCAATTTTAAATTAAGAACGGAATTAGCAGAGTTATGACGATCATTAGCATATGAATCAGAGGAAACAGAATGTACTTTAGGGGGAGATTTTGGATATATGTATGTCTTAAATGTTTGTCCATTAATGTACGATGCATCCCGAGATCGACTAAAATCATTTACATTGGGAGGTGGACGACAATGAGCAGGAGTGCGGAGGCCGAATCCATGAGAAAACTGTGATTGGACATTTTGAGGTTGCGGATTACGGGGTAAGAGCTAAATAAAAAGGGAGGAGTAATAGAGCAATGTAGAGATTATAATACCAATTTTCTGGTTATAAAATAAGCTGCACAAACTATAAATTAAGTACAAAGATGCCCTTAATTCCACCGATTCGAGTCCTTTCAATTTGTCTATGCATCATGAGTCTGTGATTTGTCTAACTAGAAAAAAAATCCACACAGTTTTCAAGATGAGATAGATGACACTTGAAAACAGTGAGTAACTGCATGGCTAAAAAATTAACGTAGGACCTTGCACACACAGGTGCATCGGCTGAAGTTGCTACAATTCAAAAAAGTACACAAAGAACAGGTACATCGAAAACAAGTGATATCAAAGTTGGTAGTGTGAGAGAATAAAAAGTTTGAAGATAAAGGTAAATGTGAACATTCAAGCTTTTGAAAATGTCAAAGAATGAATATATCTGCGCCATTGCGATCGATTTTTAGCCATGTCATAAAGAGTCCTCAACCACTGACTTTTTGTTTTCGTCTCGAGGACTCCAGGCAGTTTACATCTCCTTACACGGCCCAGATCAACGGTCAGGGATTTAATCGACTGATGCTACGTTTTGGCCTGGTCATCCTGAACTCTCTTCTAACCTAGTCTAACTTCCCTAAGGATGGCACGTCGACGTAGATCGGTGGCTCGGCACGTGCAATACATGTCTAAACCATAAAAGTGATAGTGACTAAAATAACCAAGAATTACTTGTCTTTCCATTATATCACACAGGTTACTTCATTCGTGATTCGTTCATTTCCCCATAAGGATAGTCACTGCTTTCAACCAATCTTTTACTTGGGAAATATTTAGCATTTAGCAAAAGCATGAGTCAGGGAAGCGCAAAAAACATGAAAGATGACAAAACAAAATGGTGTAATGATAAGGAAAACGATTATTCAACGATTTATTGAGAATTACATTATCAACTTTATTCAGAAGTAAACGGTAAACCTGTATAATGATTGAGCATTCAAGCAATGAGTCGCATCCGAGAATATGCATACACGCATATCCACTTTAGGGAACTATTTGAAAAAAGAGGATTGAAATGTTGTGTGCATATCATAAGAACGACTATCTTCTTCAATATTTTTGGTAATCATTGCCTACAAACCGCTGACAAGTTGCACATTACTCAACCCATCCATTAAATGACATAGTATATCAAGTCTAAATAACCCTACTGATTTCTGAAGATTTTCCCTCAGCCATATGAAGCTATATCATAAGGGTATGAAACTTCACTTCTGCGGAAAGGAAAGATATGAGAAATGTTAAAGCATTCGCAGTACAAAAATGCTTTCGTAATAAATGTGAAAATCATTGTGAAGAAAGCTATATAAACTTCACAGACTGATTATAGAATAAAGGAAAGCTCATTTTCAATGAACCACCACCGTGTGAGCAGTGATGAAGTCAGGTGAAGGCTGCTAGGCAAGACAGACAAATCGATTGAAACTCTGAACCTTAGTCGACTGAAATGGCTTGGACATGTACTGTGCATGCCAATTGATCACCTACCTCAATGTGCGATGCTAGGGGAAGTTAGGTCAAATTGGAATAGGGTTCAGAATGGTCAGACCAGAACGTGGCATCAGTCGATGAAGTCTGTGACTGTTGGTCTGAGTCGTGTGGGGAGATGTAGACTGCATGGTTGGGGTTCTCGAGATGAAAGGAATCAGTGGTTGAGGACTCTTATTGACATGGCTGAAAAGCAGTCACAATGGCGCAGATGTATTCACTACTGTTTGATTTCTTCTAAAGTAACCACTTCAGATTACTTATTGCCTCAAGCAATTTTGTCTACATGGACATTCCTCTACTTGTTCCTTGTATATTACTGTAAAGTGTGGTAACTTGAATTGATAAGCTTATGTGTAAGGTTCTATGCTGATTCTGTTTGTTTGAATATATGATTAATGAGTGTTACAAAGGAGGTGATAAATTAAGCTCCATATTTAAAGTGAAATATCTACATAAAAAACTATGAAACAGGATAAAAATCCATGGTAATAAATTCAAACTTCACTGCAATGCAGAATTTAGTTCACAGTGAGTGCTAAGAGAGTTGGAGTTTGTGAGAATTTATTGATTGATTTCAGAGTGAGGGTAGTTACTCAACGACGCTATTGGATGGAGGTCACGCTGCACCGTGAACTGACAAGTAGGAAATATGGACCATTGGATCCCGACCCAGTGGTTCAACTGTAACGTATTGGCCAAGGAATCCGAATATAGTCGGTGGTCTATATCTGACACTCTTCGGCAGAACATGCTGACGTAGGCACTGATGGAGTAAGAATAGTTGTTCTTTTGCGGAAGCTTGCCGTTTGGAGAAGTCCTCCCATCTTCGAACAACGTGAAGCGTGTTACGCTCGCATGATTTTGAAATAGTGGTGAATATTTGTAGTTCAGGTGGATGGTCTTGACTGTATTGTGTTCTCTGAGCTGGGTTGTTTAATCGTGAAGCTTTCATCGTCTTTCTAGACGATTCATGGCGAAATGTGGTCATGGGTGAACACTGCTGAGGAATCTCATACTAGGACGAAACGGTTGTCCACTGCTCCCAAGTTTCAGTGGTTCACCAACTGACTTATGTCCATAGTTAGCATCAATCTCATCCAAAACATTGATGCGAACACTTGAATTACAAACAGTTTTATAGCATCGCATGCAATATTTAAAAGTATGCAGAGAAGACAATGAAATTCACATCATACAAACAATGAGAAAAGTCCTGACTAAAAGACACTTAACTTACTCTTATACGATGAAGAGACTGAGATCCCATAGCTTGACCCTCCAATGTCAGTAAAGCAAGCAAAGGTTGGAGTAAAATAAATGGAATGTTCCCATCATTCAAGGTATCTAAACTCGAGCAACAAGACTCCCAGCACGCTAAACATGTGGTTGCATCCAAATCTGTCAAGCAACGCACAGCTTCTAGGGCAGCACACACTATTGCTAAATCTGGTAAGCATAACAACTGAGCAAGTCTGGGCCAAACAGTTTGAGGTAGACCAATAATGAGACTGGGCAGATTCACTTTTTCCCTCACTTTAGTCAAATTAGCCAAAAACATTAAACCTATAATTTAGAAAAGATCGGAGAAAGAAATTCAAAGACATGCTTTTCAGAAATATCATATCCACTATTCAGTAGAAGAGACTGGAAAAGAGCATTACAATGAGAAACTCACCTGCGATTAAATCACACCGATCATTACTTTCCAGAATGCATCGAGTTAGAAATGTTAAAGTTAACTGTGCAAGACGACAGCCATTGTCAATTAAAGGTGTCCAGTCATCTGGGCAATCCAGTGGAAGTGGTACACTGGGTGGATCTAAGGGATAGCGTATACTAGAAAGTAACTGTAACCCCAAAGACTTCAGCCCTGAATGATAGGCATGAGCACAAAGGAATACGAAACGAAGTGCATTTGGACTAGCAGCAATAACGCGTGCATTATCCCGCCAAGTTGCAAGAGGTATCCCGTTAGGAAAAAGACTGCAGGGTGAAATAGGTCCAAAATCAAGTTCATCATCGTCATCTTCACCAACAGATGGATAAACAACAGGAGGTGGAGTTACCAGATTGACAAGAATGGTGGCAATCAGCATAACACGAGAACCTTCAAAACCTTCCATAGACCCATGGACCCTATACGACTGGTTGGAAGACACAGTGAAAAGCTCATTCAATGCCTTTTCTTCCGGTGCATCAACTCGTCAATAGTATACTCTAAAAGTGAAAATAAGAAGGGTTAATAGATAATCTATTTACTTTGGTTAATAATTTCACTGACACAGGAGGAATATCAGTTAATTCAGTTGGTGATGCGGAAAAACTACCCAGCTAAACAGAAATAAATCACATATATTTTTTTAGTTGTAGGTTGACCATCATTTAGAAGTTAATCCAAGGAACAATAACGCCACACTTAATGTGTGATGGCTATTGGTATTATCCAGTTACCACTGTATAAATCGAAGTTCGAAACTGTGATCCGATAGCTGAAAACTAACTGCCTGAACCGATGAACCACAGCTCCATCCGTATTTTTCAGTTAACGTCTAACCAAACCGTTGATATTTAACGCGGAAAGTAATAAAATGAGTAGAAACGATCATCCACTACTTCATCACTCGTACATTTCTAACTCAGTAGTTTAACAATCCCCATTGAGTGATAAAACAAAAGACGTTTAGCGAAGAACCAATCTTTTCAGTGAAACCATCCTTACGCTGTAAAATCGTATAATAAATATTCTATTCACTACTGAAATGCTGTAAGGACCCCATAACGGCAAAGGAACTGAATGGATTTCTCTGTTTTTCTGACAACCTTGCTATAGCGAAAACAAAGATCCGTTTTTTGAGAGACTGCTTACATCGACACGAATATCCTAAGTGGTATTGGAAAGCACATAGACGCAATCACATTCAACCAAATTCGAAGACTCTAAAGTGTCATATAAGAAACCATATAGACGAGATTAAACCAGGGATTACTGAAATAGAATGAAAAATTCACCTAAGAATGCCTGCTGTCCATGACCTGTAACTAGATATACGCCAATATTTTGAAGATTATGTCATAGAAGTATCCGAGAAACAGCATAATATGACCAAGTTGGGATTATTAAACATTATAAAAAAGCAACTACATCTACTACAAGACGGTCTCCAAGCAAACCAGACAAATATATTTCCAAATTATCAGATACACAATTGTCGATAGTTCAACTGAAAGCCTTATCCCTGGGTCCTAAATTTTGTATTAAGTTTTTAGGCATCAGTAAACTTCATTATTATTTTTTCCCTTGGGTTCCTAGTGGAACATAGGGCTTCAGTAGCACGTCTCCATTACACTCTCTTCTCTCCAGTCTTTTCAACCTGGCTCCACCACTGCCCACTAGCTCTCGTTTCTGCCTCACACCATCTCCTCCATGTCACCCTCACCTCGGAAGCCTAATTCGCCGTTTCCCATCTGGGTTCCACTCGAGTGTCTGTCCTAAGCTTGATGTCCCTAATCGGTCTTCTCAGTATATGCCTAATTCAATCCATCTCCACTTTCTTCTGTATATTTCTTGGGTGATAGGTTCTTGGCGGTAAACTTCATACACAAGTGTAATCTGAAAACCTTATAAATCAAACTCATGATTTAGTATCTACGTCCAAAGAGCAAGTGAAATACTTTAAGTCAACAATTTTCATTTCACCAGCACAAAAGCCAAACGGTTAATCCATATTAATAAAATAAAAAAAACACTGGAAAGAGGTCAGAGAATTGAGGAACAACAAGATTACAATCGTGCGTCGTGATAAAGGGGTGGGTGTTGACGAATCTCAAAGAATACATAGATAAAGTGTTATCTATACTCTTTCTCTTATCAAAATAAAGTTTATAAAACCCATCAGGGAGAAAAATAAGATGGAGCAAACTGAAAAACAACTAACCAACACCCTTCGAAAATTAATGACCGATTCTTTCATAGATTCCGAATTATTCGAATCACTACGACCATCCGGGTCAAATATCCCATGACTGTAAGGACTGCCAAAAGTGCACAAAGAAAGCACACACCTTTACAACCTATTCTCGACATGACAGGATCGTCTTATCGTCGTATTGTCCAGTGGCTAGTCAAAATCTAGGAGTCCATAAGAAGGGAAGTCTACCTTCAGACAATTCATGACTCTTTTGACTGTCAACTTTATTGATAATGTAAACTGCTCTGACAAAATTATCTTGTCTTTATATATGGTCTCATTATTTACAAGTGTCCCACTGACTGCGACAATGTGCTGCATATGTGACTCATATGGCTTCGAATGGATTACACGTTGAGATACCCACACATTAGCTGGACAAGCTGCTACTGAGATGCATCCTGAGCGTCAATTTCCTTTCAGTAATAAAATATACAGGCAAAAAGATGACAGCTATGAGTTAACTACTGAGTCCCTCGCTTGCAGCTCTCTTCATGTCAAAGACAGAAAACACACACCTAAGCAGGATAATCGACCCCTTCAAACTTTATAGGCTATACGTAGATGACACCTTCATCATCTCCAATAATACGGATAATCAAGAAGATAATCTGCCTCAATTTAATGACTGCCACTCTACAATCAGGTTCACATCACAGAAGCGACTGAATTCTAGGATAACATTTTTGGATGTACACATAGAGAAACGAAACAATGGATTATTTGAAAGATCTGTCCACAGAAAACCCATGCAGATAGGACAACGAATTTTCATAGTTGGGTGCCTCTACGCACCAAATGGGATCTAATTCTCTTAATGTCACATAGGACGGACCCACATTATCTGCAGTCCTGATACTTTGGAAGATGAACTTCATCTTCTCAAAAATATTTTGATTGAAAACCAGTATTGCGAACGTTTATTCGCTAAAACTATGAAACTGAAAAAAATAATCGTTCCGCTTCTACGGTTCCTTAGAGGCTTATTTTCACGAGCATAAAGTTCAACGGAGACACATCAGCAGATATATAGAGTAACCATCTGATGTGTTCATTGAGAAGGACTTCCTATGCTGCCAAACTCAGAATAAATTTCTCCACTCACCCAGTGCTTCGATTGTGCTTAAAAGATTAGCTAGTTCCCTCAGACGCCTCGATGTGTGTTTATAAATTTTCCTGCTTCCCTGGACTAAGGTATATTAGCTGTACTCAGCGCTCGCTTTGCAGATGCATTTCCAAACATATATCAGCAAGATTCCATAAAGCAGAAAGGAGAACACCTCTCAGAGATATCTTAGAACATTTCATCGATTGTGACCACTCAGTTAATGCAGAAAATAACTTCAGTGTAATGTGTGAAGTTCGTGTATGTCAAGTGAAAGGTGTACGCCTAAAACTTCACCAAACTGCGGAAACCATGACAATTATTATTTTGAAGCCTGAACTCTGAGTTCGAAAGTAATTTGTCCAGTCACTTGTGTTGCAGTGGACATGACTTATATGTATACATATAACAACATTCTTACCTTCAAAATCATTTCATTCAGATCTTCTGAAACATTACACTCCTCCACTCCTATAATTCTGATTTTACTCTACATTCACCATATTATATCATTTAACTGAGTAAACAAATATTCGTTCGTTGTTGATAAGTCTTCTTCTCACTACTATTTCAAGCATTACGTAATTCTGTTTATTCCAATCTGAACTTCGTTCAAAAATATTCCATGAAATATTCATTTCATGTTACTCCATGTGAATTGAATATTTCAATGCCCGATTGTACGGCTTGAGTATGATATCGCTGAAAACAGTAACTCTTTGGTGGGCGTCTTTTGTTTTATTAAGTCAAATACATAGGTGAGCGTAGTCGATCATGATCACTTACTTTGTATTAAAACAAATACTTAACAAAATCAAACTGATAAGCCCTAGCAAGATAAGGAACCTAGAAAAAAGTTATGCCATAGCTATGGATGTGGTTAGGCAAAAACTAACAAGTTGACAGAAGAGGCAGGGCAGGGCAGCGAAGGCGGGACTTCAAGTGAACGTAGGTGATGATGATACCCAACCAACAACACCACCACCATCAACAACAACAACAACAACAAGCTCCAATCACCATCAACGGCAGAAACTGGAAGGAAGTAGTCCCTTTCACCTATCTAGGCAAGGCAACATCGTTTAAACTACAGGTGGCACAGGCACACACGAGGACGTCAAACCTAATCAGGATGGGAAAGACAGCAAGACACGCCTTACTTCACTAACCTGCAAACCAGTATGGAGATCTTCTGCACTGCACTCAGCATAAAGCGTGAACAACATCCAGATTTTCAACACCAATTCAGTCAACTCAGTGCTTCTATGTGATGGTGGAGAGACTTGAAGCGTTACGAAAAGCATTTCCAACGCACTACACATATTCATCAACAACTGACTATGTTGGCTCATTACTGAGGATCAGATCAGATGTACAGAATAATGAGAATGAGGAAGAAGTAAGTCTGACCTGGCCACGAACCGAAGAAGCAAGAATCTATGGTTGAAGAAATATGCAGAGGAAGGAAGTGGAGATGGATTGGATTGGGCATACACTGAGAAGGGTGACTGGGGACATCAGGAGTCAGGCCAGGCCGTTGAGTGGAGCCTAGATGGGAAACGATGAGTTGGGCGTTGGAGGTGTGGTGACATGGATGAGATGGTATGAGGAAGAAATGAGAGCTTGTGTGTAGTGGTAGAGCGAGATTGAAAAGACTGGAGAGAAGAGAGTGGAATGTAGACGTGCTACTGGATCCCTATGTTCCACTAGGAACCCAAGGGATAAATAATAGTGATAATAATAGTAATATGGATGTGGTTATGCGTAACCACAGAATTTAGTGGGCAGAGCTGTAGTTTCGAAACTAGCTTAGTTGACTGGAGACAGAGGGATGGTAAAGGAGCGCTTTGTTTATCGAACCAACACCAATCATATGCAATATGAATAATTCAGCACCTGCTTCAGATATATATATATATATATATATATATATATATATATGTGATTCATCGCTAAATGTCTTTTGTTTTATCGTCGACTCGGTCGAAGGTAATGCTGAGTAAAACACAGTATAATCTCAGTGGTATGGATGAGAGTATAAACGTTTGATTCACCGGTTGGTAATCAAGTGCTTGCGTTGATGATCTTTCATAGGTGCAACTGGATAACTATGCAGTGAAAACTGAAATTCAATTTCCAACTTGAAATTTAATATAAGTGTAAAACTTGGGCACTGTGGTCGAGTGTAATTCCATTTTAGTCTGTTTATTAGAAATATCACACAGTAAAACAGTAGCATTTACTGGATAACGTTTCGGACATAATTTATTATCCATATTCATTTCAGGTAACTCCACAACTTCGAGACAATCTTTATAGTTTCCTAGTTTTCTCTCCTTCTCTGTGATGATAAGGGTAGTAGAATCTTCCATATATCTGGGATAGGTGCAGCATCATCTCGATTGCATGTGTTTGGTGTTGATTAGATAAACAAAGATTCAGTCGGTTATCAATCTCTCCCCCACTCCACCCAACTAAGTTAGTTTTCAACACTGTCGCCCTATCCCACCCTACTGTGTGACTGATTGTGTGTCATCGCATGCAGAGCTATAGCTGAGCTTTTCTCTAGTTTTCTTATCTTATTAGGATCTACTAATCTTAATTTAGCTAGGTTTTTGTGCACTGTTATTCTAAACGACCCTGGTTAGTCGACTGCTTTGACGTATGTACTTGACCTAGTAATCATTGCAAGGAATCTGGTAGACCAGATTATTTTGCTTAGTTGCATCGATAGGATCTTTTAACCTACAAAGCTTGTTTCTCAGCGAGTTCGTTGGTTTTAATGCCACTTTAATCCCAGCCAGCCTTATTGAGGATTTTTCGTAATTCTTCTGAGGTGCCTTCCTTGTATGGTTACACAGCAGAGACATTGAATTCTCTCTTAACCCTGTCGCTATTATTACCACTAGTAGTGGAATCATTATTAATAACATCTGTATTACTACTACTACTGCTGCTAATATTTTTCTTTTAGTTTCTTATGAATTTATTTATAAATTTTGGTGGGTAATTATTGAGACGTAGGGTATTCGTGATGTGTCTAATTTCTTGTTGCAGATTTTCCGATCTACTAGTAAGCTTTTTCGCTCTATCACCTAAGCATTTAACTAAGCCTACTTTAACTGAAATGGGGTAGGAGGATTCGAAGTCTAAGTAGCGATTCGAATGGGTAGGTTTCCTATAGACACTAGTCTCTAGATTTCCTATCAAAAGCCTTTTTTTTCACTCGAACTGCTTTAAAATAATAATAATAATAATAATAATAATAATAATAATAATCATATAGCAAAGCAAATTCGCTCTGGTATAAAAGATAGAATTTGAAAATTTCACCTTGTCAAGAACACTAAATTTTATATCTTACTACAACTGATTGGTTAAAAAAAAAACACATGTGATCTGAGATTGTATAACCTTAAAAAGTTTAAGGCCGATAAACTAACACAATCTCTCAAGGTCATTCATATAAATTCGCTTAAAACAAATCACTAAAACGGAAAAAGAAATGAAAAATGGACATCAATCAATTTATATTAACCAACACATATAGAAAAATGACTGAAATCCATTTACCGGTGTTAATAAAAACATCAGGACGAAGAAAAATACGACCAGAGGGTTCACGAACAGTATTGTACCAAAACTTTTAAAAAAGAAAAATACAAGAGTGACTCATCAGTTAGGAAATTTGAAAGGCAATAAAAAGAAATTCTTTGAATATTTGAAAAAGATAAGTTTACCGGTAAATTGGAATTCGATAGGTAATCTAAGATGATTGAGTAAATAGACGCTTTAACATGCCCTTCAACACAGCACTACGAAGAATCATACTACTACTATTACTACTACTGAAAAGGCAGAAGACAGGTATACAGGAAGGGATTTTTATTGTCAACAAATGGGACAGTAGTCGTTAAATATGGTACACCTTGAACTAATACCATCCATTTGCAAAATATGCTTCATTTCCTCTTCTGCTTCCTTCTTGATTTGCTCTTCATACGCCCGCCTTGTCTCTTGCGTTTCTCTTGGCGGAATCCTTACCCATTGCTGGTAATTCCCTATGATTTCTGCCATCCTCTCAATATATACTACTTATATCCACTCTTATCAGCAACGCCCACTACACTACCACTAATAGTAATAATTGTCATTGTTATTATCATTATTATCGCTTTATTCCAAACAGTGTGGAATCCTCAGCATGTAATATTTCCACAAATCCATCCCTTGTACGATGATATCTGAATGATGTTTATAACAATAGGATTAAAGGCAGCATAATGTGAAGCAGCCGGTTGGTGTTGGATTAACGTCTAGTGCTTAGTGATGGTAGTAGTACTAGTGATTTATTCAGTTGCGACTCAAGATTGATAGATATCCGAGAAATAGAAATATGATTCATTTTTGTCTATTCACAAGTTCAATTCCCTCCAGCATAACATTTCTCCTTTGTTTTGTTATTCAGTCGAAAAATAACTAGTTCGGAACATTTTTAAAAACTTACATGAGTATGCGATACGTTTGGAGGATATATTTGAAACATTAAAACAAACCGATAGATAAGAATGTGATATAGTATATCGAATCGAAAAATTTATTGGTAGCTCAGAGTTCAATCAGATTCAACAAACTTCAAGAATAAACTTGTGAAGTTGTAGAAATCTATTGTATAAAATGAACAAACAGCAATTTTCGCGCAGTACTACCATCCAAATAAGAAGAGTTAGCAAATGCTATGCTGATGCGAATGAAATGAGATAAAGAAAATCTGAATCATGAATGAATGAAAGCCACTCAACAACCTTCTACATATTCTTGCAGTGGGAAATAAGTGAGGGTTAATTCTACTTCCTGGTTGCCCAATCCACGGTAGACAGGGCGGGGTTCGAACCCATGACCCACTGGTTGAAAGTTATCTTCCTCAACCAATGACCAACAGTTCCCGCACAACAGAAATGTCTCAAAGTTACAGTGAACAACAAAATGCGTTCTCCATTGGAGTGGGAGGAAGTGACATCAAAAGACTTGGAAATAGGGTTAAACAGACAGTTTGACAATGATAGTGTAATATCTATATGGATCACTCCTTAAACTAACTACAATGATGACAGCACACCTCAAATTCTTCATCAAAATTGAATATGGATTATACTTTTAAATACAAATGACACGTTTTCGTCAACTGAATATTGAACACTAGCAGACGTATAGGTGAATCTGCATTCACAAGAGTACACCGAGCCACCACATCGAAACAATTTTTTAAATCACGGACTGAAATCGGTTGGAGAAGCACTGAAAACCTGAGAAAACTGGACGGCTGTTTCGTCCTAGCATGGGGCTCCTCAGCAGTGGGCACCCATGACCCAGTCAGAGATTGAACTTAGGATCTTCACGTTCAACGACCAGTAAGTTGTCGTTGAGCTACTGGCTCGGAATCTGATGGTTTGCATTTTCCTACATCTATCATTTCGCCATATAGTGCAACCTTCATCCAATCCCTATCCTTACGTACTACTTGGTTCGATCTATCAGTCACTTCTCACTACAACTTTGGGAAATCTTACCTCGAAGCACGTCAGTAATAAGCATATGACCGTTGTTCAATTCGGAGGTTATTGGAGATTTTATTAGTTTCAAGTTAGTATTCATCACGGATTGACATCAGTAAGAGAACCATTAAAAAACTGGGAATACTGGGCAGCTATTTTGTCGTAGTCTGGGACTTCATCAGCCGTGCACATCCATGACTCCAACAGGGAGGGATATGAGTGGAGGAGAAGTAGGTCCAGTAGACAATGCTTCAGAGCTGGTGAGTTAAACGTATGTATCGTATTTAAGACATCTTCATTTGTCTGAACTATTTCCACTATCAGAAGACACTATAGAAAAGTTTTGGATAGGAAGGGCTAGTCTTTAATAACTACCATCCTAAAAATTGTCATACACAACTGACACTTCAGAAACTTACACTATAATTAACCTGTGGGGCTTGATCTACCCAGCTACGATAAGAAACATGGATGGAAGTCTTCTACTACTCATGAATCATTTTCCGTATGAGTGACTTCAATGATTCTTCATACATGACCATAGGTGAAATGAAGATGGATAGCGTTTAGACCCAAAACCAATACATTACAGTGCGACTCAGTAAACAAGTGCAAATTTACTCAGTAGGGTTAGACACTTCTATTGAGTGAGGGCTAATTATAATACTTAGCTGAATGGATTCTTAGTCGATGGAGAGGTTTTGAACCTATTGAAAATCAAGCATTTAAGATTTACCATGAAGCTAGTCGAGGTTACCCAAATATAAAATATGTTGACCGCCAATCTAGGAAAGTTGAAACAAATAGATGAGATGCAAAAATCAGTTAGAATTTAATACAGTCTTGATGCTAACGATAGATAGTAGCTGGAACTCGTCAGTTGGATATACCTGGCTCCCAGTGAGTGATGTTGTTCGAACTAAGACTCGGAATCAAGACCGACTGCTTCGAACGCCAGAGTGTTATTCACTAGGCCACTGAGTTACGACAGTCACTACTTACACAACGGTTTGCATGTGAGCTCAGCGTTAAAAATAGAGAAAACGTTTCAATTGTACAGCATATTGTCGATGTAAACCAACTAACTAGCCAAGTAACAAATAAACTAATAACTTCATTTAGTCGATGTCAACACAGAATCTAACACAATTGGATAACTGTCGGTTTGAACCATGTGAGGATCGACAGACTAGCCGGCTGGGGCCCATGGGACAAGAGAAACGAACCAGTGGTTAGAGACTCCGTGATATGGCTCAGAATCGATGTCAGTGGCGCAAATGTATACACACACTATCCTCATCTTAACGCTATGCCAAATTTCAGCATTTTGTCATCTTTCCTCTCTCTCTTTTAGTACTTTATATTTCTTTTGACTGGGTTTTCTTTTCATATTCCACTTCGCTGCCTTTTTACTTGATGTACTGATATGAGCTGTGGCAACTCGGACCGCTAGGCAGTAATGCATGGTCCTATGTTGATGATGATGAGGATGATGGATAACTAACTAATCAATTTGCTCCACCTCAGATGAACATAACAAGACAAAAAAATCAAAGAAAGGGAAACAATGTAACCAAATCGTATAAAAGACATGGGAAGGAAAGAAAAGGGATTATAGCTAATAAATAAACGTGATATGACCGCTACGATGACGATGAGGTATCTGGGTAACTGTAATTGGTCTATTTCAATAAGAATCTTCGACTAACGACTTCTGTTGTGTCATGTGAGTTCCGAAGTGGAAACCTACATTTTGTGTATGGTTTAGATTATGACCGTAATCACCCCTGGCTTTTTTTCTGATAAGACGCTACTTCAGCTAACATAATGTGTCCAAGTAGACAGCTGTTTGATGTGAATGACACATACTCCAACCATCTCTTAGTCAATGCAGGTTTATAGCCTTATCATCATCCAACTCTCATTTAATTTAACATGATTTCATGGTAGTACTAAACACTAACCTAATATAACTACAACAGTCGATTGAGTAAAGAACGCATATAGCTGACAAGAAAACTCTAGACTTTATAAGACTTACTTTCAGGAAGTTTAGCTGATTTTGACATCTCCATGTTTCATCACAAGATATGTAGGATCCAAAACCTAAAAAGAAATCCATTTAATATAGTTAGAACTTAGTATACAATCAACAGAAAAAAATTCTCGCACACTTCAACAACTGTCATCCATCACTAGAGATTACAACACAATAAGAAACAGATTCTAGAATTTCATTCTTAGATGTTCTTAGAGATGAGAAGAGATGGTACACTTAAGAGATCCATTTACAGAAAACCAACATGGAGTGGACAATTGACGAACTTCTACAGTTGGCTTTCACTAATCAGAAAATGTAATCTTATTCGCTCACTATTCTTAACATACCATAGAATTTGTTCTGTAGACTGCATAGAAGCTTTCTTTAAAAACGGATGGAAACCTATTACGTTTCACTGAGAAAAATATAAAACACAAAAACACTTTAACAATCACAAGCACTGTGTTCGAAGAAGATATTGTTCCTAAACATAGAGTTCAAAGAGAATACTGCTAAAGATATTCTGAAAAGATTGACTCATACTACGTTTAATTCAGCAAACATCAGAATAACAGATCGTAGTCGCCCTCTAATATGCTCCTTAGTGACCAGTTAAACGTGTATCTACTAACCAATTCACCTGCGCCAGTGGAGTTAGGCATGTCGGTCGTTCGTCTAGGCCTATATTACGTCGCATTCGACAATATCTTACAGTATGGATAAGTAAAGAGTGAGGAAGATCAATCAACTCATTGGTATATATATATATATATATATATATATATATATATATATATATATATATATATATATATATATGATTGTGCAGCTTTCAAAAGTAAATCCGTTGAAAAGGATTTCCTTGACTGAACTATTTGTTCAACCTAAAATGGAGTTATTGCTTGGAGTAAAATGCTGTATCATAGTGCCTCACAAACTGAGTAGCTCATGGCCTACCTGCAATCACTCATTGAAAACAGTAAAAAGTAGGTAAAGTAACAAGCTGAATTTACTTTTATTCAAAATGATATGAAGTCATTACAGAGCTGCGATAATCAACCATTGAGAAACAATTCCCTTCAGAACCTGTTTATATGAGTCAAGGAAGAGCTTTTGTATTGCTACCGTATTAATCCAGCAAGATTTTATCCAACCAGCTGATGATGAAAGTCAAAAGCAGCTTACGATTCACAAAAATTGCTTAAGATGAGTTCATGAATCAATCCACCTTCACTTATACACGAATACAAGTTAGCAGTTTATGTGATACTGTCCCCTTAACTCCCTGCTGTGTTGTGTATCACCATCAAGCATCCCCATTAAATCCAATTTCAATATACAAAAAAAAAGGTTCGGTCAGGATTACATGCGCTCTATTATCATCTAAAGATACAACTCTCATTTAGCACATCAACATTGTACATGTTAATGTGAACAACGCTAGAAGCTACATTTCATGTGAGAACTTACAATCATGTCCGATAATTCAGGCAATCAGAAATTCGCCCAAACCACTCAATACGTTTCATTCACCAATCCGGTTTTCAGTGAACAATTCGATAACTTATCTACTATTCACAATCCATAGAATTTATTTAGTCCAAATTCCTCACAATCTTAAATAATTAGTGTTTATTAACAATATCTTTTGAATCCTCTTCATTTTTTGTCAACTCGTACCACTGTAACACATAATCCTTAAGGATGATAATTTTGTGTGTAAACAAATCTGGACTAACAGTTTCAGAAACCTCAGTTTATGAATTGCTTGACATGTAGCTGAATCTTGGAATCCATAAATATGAAAACACCAGGTATGGTTAAGTCTAGGTAGTAAGTTTATCAACCAGATGCTAACGCTTCTTCAGGAACTACTACAACAGA